CGCAAGGGTAAACCAGCTCTTGTGCTTGGAAAAACTTCATAGAGCAGGTCAATGCCCTCTGCTGGCATCTCTAAGAGAACGTTGTATAAGGCTCCTTATTAAGTACATGCAGTTTGTGAAATGTTCTCCAGTTACAGTGGCATATGGTTTTGCTGGAAGATAGCAGGTGAAAAGTCAGAAGATTGCATACATGAGGGCATATCTGGTTCATGTCCCTCTAATATAAGACCCAGTAAATGGGTTTCATACCAGTAAGGGAGAGTGTATTATAGCTGTTTCATGTCATAACTTTGTGTGTGACATCACAGTTGAAGAGCTTAAGGGATTTACAAAAATAATAATTTTTTTTAATATCGATTTTACATTTTTGAGAACAAGCTTTTAAAACAGCAGTTGGCAAGTGGATTGTTTGCAGGTATACCAGAGAACAAAGCTAGGATTTATTTACTCTAATCCCCTTCTCTGCAAGGTCCCAGGTTTATTTCACTGGGTAGGAGAAAGTTATTTTTAAGCATTGCATAGCACAGCATCACACAATTTCAAAAGTCTCCCTCATGGAGGATATGCATTTAACAAAAGTAGAAACCTATTGCTTTTTTGTGTTGTTTTTACAGCTTCAGAGAAGGTTGAAAATCAAGCTGTGTTAATTTTTTTCTTAACAAGCAACACCAGGAGATGTGCTTCAGTGCTGAGCATGTAATGACTGGAGAAAAAAATGTTATTTTGAACACAACACACTGTACATTTCCCTATCAACCAGCACTATTTAGTATCTGATGATCCAGTTTATGCATTCAGGCTTTATCACCCTTAAAGCAAGGAAATGACAGAATAGTGTCCTTTTAGTTTCTAAAAAAATATATGTGCTCCCCATAAGTGGGATTTTGCTGACATGTTTGGATAAAACAAACTTAAACCTGAAGAGCTTTTCACTTTCAGCATTAAGACGCAAAATTTTCATTTTTAACATTAAGACATTAATGTTGAAGCAATCCTCGCAGAGGAATTTCACCCACTGTAAAAATCAGTCATTTGATGCAATCTGGCTACCTGCACATCATCTGTTTGTGATATCTCTAAAGAAAACGTTAGAAATAGCAATACTCCAACAGATCTTGAACTTTGGGTTTTATTTTTCTTGAGCTGGCAGTGGATATATGGTTCTCGCTTCATTTTGTGACCTGATTAAATATGTAGCTTTGAAGTCCAAGCCAGGCTCTAGCCTAGTTGTCCTTTTAATCAAATTTCATTGATAAAATTGGGTGCTTGTATTTTGGCTACTTGTTTATAGTGTTAGGATTGCAAAGATCACCACTAGGCTTTGAAGCTTTGTATTCATCATTTAAGTTTGGGATTTGTTTTTAACTTAGTTAATAATGGAGTGGGGGGATGTGCCTACCTACACTAGGGTTTCAGATAGTGTTGAGAGTGAGTGTTGCTCACCATCCCCAGTTAGACATAGTTTTAAATGGTAAAACAGTTGTGCTGCTTAGGTGAGCAAAATGGTTCATGTGGGTGTGGAAGTTAAAAGCTTTACATCTTTCAAAAACAAAAACCTAAAAACAAAAACCCCACGAAGCCCACACCAGATTCTGTTCTTGCTCGTTGTTTCCTGTGTGCTGATTGAACTAATGGCTAGTCTGGATTTCTTCTGCAGCCTTGAACTTCTAGAGGATAAAAATACTGTCCAGTATCTTTGAACTGCCAGTGTTAACGTATCTGATGTTCTGTGCAGAGTAAAGGTGCTGTGTGAGGAAGTAATTTTGCAGTGGTTTTTGTCTCGTAATGGCGTGATCTCATATCCATTTGTGGCCAGAGACAGAGGAATACCCAGGCCTGATAATGCGTGCGTGTGTCGTAGAAACCCGCGCAGGAGTAGCATCTGCCTCTCCTGGCATATGTTGTTGTAGCTCCTCTTACAGTTTAAAACAAAGTGAGGATCTGCCCATCGATATGGAAGTTGCCCATGAAAAAGTTGGTCGTGGTTTTGGTGGCAGAGCAGTGTTTAGCAGGTTGTTACGGTACAGATGCTGCTGCTTTAGCTGAGGGAGTTAACTTGATGCCTCTGAATTCTAGAGAACGGGACCTTAAAAATAGCATGCCCCCATAACCAGGCAGCTGCTGCCTCCTGAGAAATGAAGAAGTTTTTCGACTTCCTGAGAAGGGCAGTCCCCCTGGTAACAGGATGCTCATTTGCAGCATTGGGTCACCGATGGAGGCATGGTAGGAGCTGAGGATGCAAGAACACACTGGGCTAAGCCATCTCATGGGCTTGGGAGCCTGGGCACCTCTCGCTGGCTCCAGAAAGAGCTATTCCTACTGGGACAGAACGTGGTGTCTGCTGGGGAAAGGGACAGTTGTCTTTCAGGCCTGTTGATTTTTTTTCCGTGTCTCTCTGAGGCAGCATTTTGAAATGTCTGTGCAGTTTGCAACAGGACCTTAATAGGCAAAACAGAAAGAAACTTCACCACGTAGCAAAGAAGGTATGGTTCTGCTCTCCATTGCTGAAATTGTTTCCATGAGACAGATGAATTGGGTACCTGGTGCAGAGTGACATTGCAGTGTGAATGCTGTCAACAAAACTTATGTTAGAATTAAAAGCAGAGAGTACAGTACCTTAATAAGGTGTATCTTATTTTCTCATCCATATTTTTATCTGCCGATCTATTTTGATCCCAGCTCCATGGAGACTGTTACAAACCTCTTGTACTAGTTCCACTGTTTTGCAGTCACTATGGGTCTGTAGTCCAAGGAATGAGCAATGTGTTTTCTAACCTCTGTTTTGAATGTTTGTATGTGATGCAATTGAATCCCACTGCATTATGCAGCTGGAATTTATTTGCCTGCAAACTTTTACACTTTGCTTGTTGATAACGGAATACCCCAAAACAAAATTCTACACTGAAGCAAAAAGAAAGCCCCCCCAAAATATTCTGCACTGCTGGCTTCAGTGGGCAGCAGACACAGAAGAGGCATGTGGTATGAGACTGACTAGCTTCTGGAGAAGGGCGCTTCCTTGGCTCTGGAAGGCAGCTGATCCTACTGTTTGTTGTAGGTTAGAGGAGATGTCTGCTCCCTGTGAACGTGTGAAGCACTGAGGGATGCTAACATATCGTGCCACTGTGTGGCCTGCAGGAACTACTTAGGCAGACAGTGGCAAATCTGCTCAAAAACCCCTCCTGCATCCCTGCAGTGAAGTCAGAGCTCCTGCACAGTACCTGCACTACCTAGAATTTCCACATGGGACTGTTAACAGAAATTGCCCATAACAGATTTTTTCAAAAGATGGGTAAAAGGAACGGACCAACCACAAAACAGATTAGTTTGAATATTGCTAATCATTCTCAGCAGCTGAAGGTCAGGAAATGTGTGAATTTATTTTTAATGGGATTTCTCCCTTTCCATGCTGCTTTGCCACAGAAAATCTGGCTCAGAAATCTAAAAGGAGATGCATCTAATGCATGCTTCAGTCATTTTAAGCCATGCTGCAGCCTTGCTGGGGAAGACATGGGAAAGTAGAGATTCAGTTCTAGCCACAGGTTGCGAGTGGCCTGTGAACCTCTCTAGCCTTGAATCCACTGATGATCAGAGGTGGTGGCTTTGGCACAGTCCAGAGCACATTCTCCTGATCTTTCAGAGAGAGGCAGGACACGCGTGCAGAGAGGGAGCAGCAGTGTTCCCACCTCTCTGAACACGTAGATATGAAACCTTGAGGATCAGGGGACAGCATATGTGTGTTAAGACTTCTGAAGCAAGGTGAATGAGCCCATGAATCAGCAGGGAACGCAAGAAACATGCATTTCCCATTACACTAACACATACGCCTGTCAGATTGTATTATCTGACTGGTTTTGATGTATCTCTCTTGCTGAACCTGTTGGTGGCAAGTTCTAGTGTTGGTTCCACTCATTACTAAGGTAGTTTGATTAGAGTCTCTGTATTACAAGGTAATTTTGACACTTTCTTCTTAACATCTGCAGAACTTGCTTCAGCTTTGGAAACTGAAATGGGGATTTTTCTGTGCCGCAGTCTTGCAAGGTTGTGTACCTTCATTCCTAATTGCTTTCTCTGCCAACCCAAATGGCAGTGTACCTGGGGGTTGAGTTTTCAGACCTTTTTTTGTATAACTTGTTTTCATAACTAGCCCTATATGTTTTCTCTCTTGGTTGCCAATTACCTGGAGCTGGGATATAATTTATTTATTTCCTCCTTTACCCTCTCTCTCAAAGACGACGATGGGCAGGTTCTCAGCCTACCTACATGGTGGACTTCAGGTAACATCTCTGTAACAACCAAGTTTGATCTATAAATGTGCTTGGCTAAATGTCTGATCTGCAATACTTGTAATAGTTTAAAATTCAATAAATACATTTTTAACAGTTGCTCTCTGAAAGCTGAGTGTTTGCACAAACTGCTATTCTGTCTTGGTCTTAGGACAAACCTGCGCCAGCCACAACTGTTGAAAACTGTTTTATTTTTATTTTCTCCAAACAATTTGTTTTCTCCCTTTCTCGGGCAATAAATAAAAAGTTCATTTCTTAAAAAAAAAAAAAGGGAACAAAACCATACATATGTACATCAGCCACACAGGCATCTTGTGTGTTGGATTGGACTGGGGGCAAGAAGAGAGGCAGGGTGGGAAATAAGGCTCCAGGTGAGTTGAAGTGAAGATGAGGCATTTTCTAGGCTTGGACCAAAAGCTGCAGCATTGCCTCCCCAGGTGCTGGCAGGGGTGAGGCTGACTGTAGGCAGCCCTGTGCCACCACCACTCCTGCTTGCCCCAAGGCCCTGCCTGCAGCTCTGCATGTCACCCAGTGTAACTGGCTCAGGTAAGCAGCACCCACCACACACACCCATGTCAGTCAGTGCAAGGGGGAAGACTGCTGCACAAATAAAAGGAGGGTATTGCTCCCTTTTCAACCCAGATGAGCTAGGGGCAGAAACACAGGAGGTGTGTCTTTTTTTTTTTTTTTTTTTTTTTTTTTTTTTTTTTTTTTAGAAAACACGACAATAAAATGGGGATGGAAAGAGATGAAGACCAGGCACTTGAGGAAACCCAGTATACTGTTTTTTCCCCTCCCCCAAAGAGCCTGGAAAATGTCAGGGTTTGTGGCTTTTACCATTTCCCATGCTTTCAAAACATAAAATTAAAAAGCAAAAAAAACAAGATGAGGTAAGAAATTTCTCTACGAAAAAGACATCGAGTCCAGGGTGAACAGCAGTGTCCGGAACTATTGCTTAACATCATGGGGTTCCATGCCCCCCTGGCCCCTCCGCACCTGGCACTATCTGTCTGGCTGGCCCCAGCCCCTGAGCTAACAGCTGGGTGATGTGGTGATGGGGCTGTGCAGGTATGGGAGGCTGCTGGGGGTGGCATGGACACCCACAGAGACTGGGAAGCTGAAGACAAACTGGGAGGTGGGGGTGGAGGTGGCCTTGCCCCGCTCCCGCAGTGTCCCCGAGGGGCTGACAGCTTCCACTGCGCATGAGGTGGCCAACACCTGCGACTCAAACTGCAGCAGCTGCCCCATGAAGCTGAAGTTGGGGGAGATGATACTCCGGCGCTGCTTGACGAACTCAAAGGCCTCCTCCAGCTTGACACGCTTCTTCATCATCAAGTAAGCCAAGCAGATGGTGGCTGAGCGGGAGATACCAGCCTGGCAGTGAACTAGGACCCGGCCACAACACTCCTTCACCGAGTCTGGAGGGCAACAGGGGATGAGACATGAGACCAACGCCCTTCCAACAAAGCCAAACCCACTGCCAAACCCACAGGTGGTGGCTGACCTCCCTCCCACCAGACCCTGCTGGATCCCCATCCCCTCTGAGCCAAAGGCTCCAGGTCTTTGAGGCAGGAACCTCCCCCGCAGCCCCCACCGAGTGAAACACACACAGACACGGCTCCTCTGCACAGGCACTCACCTATGTATTCAATTGCCTCCATGAACCAGGAGCTGATGTCGGCTTTGTGGTTATCCTCCACGGGGATAGACTTGTACTGGTAGTGCCCCTCAAAGTGGTTGGGGCAGTCTGAGGAGACGTTCAGCAGGGCTGTGATGCCCAGTGCATCAAGCATGTCCCGCCGGGCAGCGTGGTAGGCGCTGCCAAGATAGAGGAAGGGAAGGATTTCCACAGGGCCACCCTGTTACAGAGGAAAACAACAGACACGGGGGTGACCAGGGGACAGCAGTGGGCAGGACGCACGTCCAGATGGCTTGCAGGCCCTGAGCAGAGGCTGCCTTTCTGGGCTGTTAACCCATTTCAGCCCTACCCCTCTCCATCCCTTTCAAGAACGGGCAGGTGTGGTTAATGGGATTTGGCCTTGTGTGCTCCCCAAAGAGCACAGACACCCTGGGATGAGGAGGACTGCCATGTTCTCCTACGAGAGGAGAGGGAGCAGGGCTCCGGCTCTGCGGGCCTCAGCTGAGGGAGAGCAGAGAGACTCCAGCAGGACCAGGTTGCAATGCTGGAAGGAGCAGTCAAAATAGCTGAGCACTGGGCTTCTAGACATACCTGATCATGAAGAGGGGTCCCACAGGAACTGCAGCCCAAATCCAGGGGCTCAGCACTGCTGGGGGGTGACACATTGCTCAGGAACTTGGTTTTTGCGCAGAATTCAGGGTACTCTGAGGAGAAACGCTCGTAACCCCCTGCAAGAAGAGAGGCACGAAGCGTTATCCCAGGCTACGTTCACAGCGCTGCAGAACAGCACAGCTGGAGCTGACGTGTCTCACCGTGCCCTTCACCACTAGATGATGCTACAGCGATGGAGAGTGGTCTCCTGCCCCAGGAGGAGCAACCGGACTCCTGGACTCCTGGCAGCAAGCAGGGGAATCCTGGAGGCCCCACCACTCCCTTGGAGCCAGAGCTCCCCAAGAGCTCTGCAATGTTCTTGGCTGCCCGAAGTCTCTGGTCCAGGGTTTAGTCCCCTACACGCCACCAGCCAAAACCCCAGACCGAGGCCAGGGTTGCTCTCTAAGATGATGGAGAGAGGATTTGTTGCCGGCATCCTCTGACTTTAACGGGAAAAGCTGCCCCCACGCCAGCTTTCAGCTCCCAGCTTTCCCAGACACAAAGCACGGGGAGGTCTCCCACTTTCCCAGCCTGAACCTCCTGCCCAGAGCTCCCAAAACAACAGGCAGGGGGAAGCGCAGGCACTGGCCAGGTAGTTACCCTAACCCCACAGCAAAGCTGCTCTCCAGAGAGAGGTGTCCACTGCCTCTCAAGGACATGGGTGCAAGCTGAACATGGAGGTGAGCACCCTGTGAAAGAGCAGCTTGCTCCTTTGACCTGCTGCCGGGAGGATAAGCAAAGGTGAGGTCAGATCTTCCCAACAGCAGGTAAAACAAGAGCAAACCCCATCGGCTTCCCAGGACAGGGAAACTGCAGTGTTGGCTGCAGATAAACTCTTCTGTTGAGATTTCTATCTCTCATTCCAATCAAACCAACAACCCTCACATCCTTGTAGAGTCTGACCTTGAGCCTTAAAAACCAACAGAAATCCGGTATTTTACTATCACCACAGGAATCTAGCTAGACCAAGCCCTGACTCCCAGGCTACCTCCTGCAGACTCACCCCAACTACACGACCTACACCTGCAGATTTGGGCGTGCCAGAGCACACACAGCAGGACATGTATTCCTTATCCAGCTTTAGCTCCGAGGCTGCCCTGAACAAGGCAGTATGTTCAGAAGACCAGTGGATGCAAGCATCTCCAGCAAAGCAGCCCAGGACTCCCTAGGAGGCTAGAGACCAGTGTTGCCAGCATCCCAGTGTCCTTTATGGTTTTCTCCCTCTGTGCAAGGAAGGGCTCTAGTACCTTAAAGCAGAAACATGCGTATGCATCACTGAATTTGCATTGTCCCTCCCCCATGAGCTGGACAGTTTGCAGAGGCTGCTGTTTCCAGGGTCTGACATCCCTTTGCAGTCCTACTGGTTCAATCTGGAGGAGCACCCAGAAACAAGTGCCCCTGTTAGACTTCTTCAGGATGTCTGATCCCAAAATCCCAGCACCTACCACATCCCACTCCAGTGGGATCCTGAGAGGGAGAAGCCGCCCAGGGTGATGTGCAGACACAGGCTCCCTCCTTGGAAAATCAAAGCGACCCTTTCAAACAGACAAAGATGCTTCTCTTTAATGTGCCTGATCAGATCTAACGCCCCATCAGCCAAGCTCCACGTCCAGCGGCTCCATCCAGTGCCGTGCAGCTCCCAGCTGTGTGCACAGGCCCTGCCCAGCACAGGCACCACGCTGCACAGGTGCCCATCACCACACAACAGCCAGCCGGGCTGTTTGACAGGGAACCTGGCAGCAGCCTGATCTGCACCAGACAGATCCGGGCCTGCACCCAATAAATTTGCATTTGGACAGGCACAGGGCTGGGTTAGCACAGGTCCCGTAAGAGCCACAGGGGCACCAGAAGCCCTCAGCTGACAAAGGCCACCCTTGAAGCACAGCAGCGGTTCCTGCCACACGTGCAGCTCCCAGCACCACGATGGCTCGTGGCGAAAGACCCAGAAGCATGTTCCTGAGCGAGCCCTTGCTGTGCAGGTGCTCCCGCAGCAGCGCATCGTATCACATCCTTGGAACAGCTCCTGCTGTTTTTACTGTATCTAGTACAACAGAAGCGCCAGCTCCTCCATCTATCAAGCCTCTTAATGGATTTGCTACTCTGCATAAGCATCCTCACCCCTGCTGTAAGTAAACCGAGGAATAAATTAACTCTCAGGCTGTAAACAAAAAAAAGAAAAGACCCCACAGAGCTCATCCAGGTGCTCCAGCTGAGCATCCCCCTCCCTTAAATCATCTCACGGCACTTCTCAGGACCGGCAGCTCCAACTGCTCACGGCATCTCATTTAATAGGCGCCAACGCTGCCGCGAGCACGGCATGGGGGGAAAGCCCCGACCCCTGCTCTGGTCGTGAAGGGAGGACAGTGGCATCCCGGGGGTTTCTGCCCGCTGCAGAGGGACGCCAGCCTGACACCAGCGATCTGGCCCTGCACAAACACCTCCTCTGCGCCGGGAGGCTGGGGATGAACTCAAGCGAAGGGGGGGAACACACACACCCCCCTGCTTCCCTCCGGGTTTGCGCCTTTGCCCCCCCGGGTGCCGGGCAGAGGCACGGGGCCCGCTCGGCCTGAGGCGGCTCAGAGCGCGTCTCTCTCGGGCCACCCACGCGTGGGGCGGAGGGATGCCCTCGCCGCCGACCGTCCCAGGACCCCACCGCCCCGCCGGCTGCGCTCCCCCCGCCCTGAACGCAGCACCCGCGCTCCCCCGCCGCCGGCTCCCAACTTCTGGCGGGACAGCCGAGGCGAGAAGAACGGGCCCGGGGACGCCCCCGCCCTCCCCCAAGAGCCACAGCCAGGACGCGCGCCCCGGCCCA